AAGATTCTTGCAGCACTGCTGCAGAAACCAGGATTCCCTAAACCACTGGCGGTGGAACCAGGATTAATTGTGTCACTATAACGCAAAACCAGGATTTCCATTGATAATTAGACATATATATTTCACAATGTTATGTTGTGCTAGTGGCCCTGACGGCCAACGAAGGACGCACAGAGACCTTCCTAGCCCGAATCATCACCAAGAAATCGATGACCCTCAGCCAACGATCCGGATTTACCTTTCAGCTCAGCCTATCCTCGGTTTGTACCTCTCTGCTCAAATACGTGATCGGACTGTTCGTCTTGCGAGTACCACTTACTAATCCCTTAAGTCAGCCAGCTGTTCGTGAATTTGGGAAACCCTACCCAGCGTGACCACTATGATATCCTACGCTGATAAATAGCCCAAGATACTCAGCTGATCGATCAGAGACACATATTTCAGGGAAAAGAAGTTATGCCGTAGATCCAATAAAGAAACGATTGCACGATAAACCTCCGTTGCTTGCTAAAAGTAACTTCTGACAGAATCAGACAGTAACTGACCTGCTGGAACACTCCATTACGACACTGTCGTGCACTTTCACTGTCTGGATGCCTCAGCAGGGTTTTGTTTGATGTTAGCAAAAGCATTGTTAATCGTTCAAGCATTGTACGCGCAACGGCCATTTGTCCTCGACGTTTTTCGCTTTTCAAATCGTTTTGTCGATCGCCGGAACGATGCGCCAAATCAACCATATCACCGCCAAATTCAGTAAAAATTTTCACGAAATCCGTGAAATTTGTCGTATTTTCCAGTTTAACCAAGGAATATGCGATCTAAAATAAAAACTGAGAGGAATCCATAACGAATTCGTTGGATCCATACATCTATCAAGTTATATTTGCCAAATTTCGCCCAAAATCTTATCAGCAATACTCGAAAGAGGGAGCCATCGACCGCCTTGGCAGCAGGTGATTTCTGTTGACAAATGCTAATCACTCGGGCTACTTTTGAATGCCGTCACCTCCCAAAAATAGTAAATACGGAAGGGGTTTTCAGCTTTTAGATATTTTGATTTACACCAAATTATCAAAATAAGCACGGATACATCATATTACATAAACTTGGATAATCTAAAGGCGCTTGCCTTATCTTCCGATCGAAGGATATGCTTAACAAGTACGCGGTCGGCTAACAATAAAACACGTGTTACGGATGTTAGAAGTTGTCTGGCAGCTCGAACAAGAACCGATTTATCGATTGTGGCACCCGAATCATCTGTTAGACATCCATTCAGATTTGCTATCGATGCACCTGAAAAAAAAAGAACTCTATAACTTAGCACCTCTAAAAAAGAATTCTTTCCTCAAATCCCTCACATATTTATACTTCGGAATCCAAAGCTGATGGAATTAACAGGCTGAATCTCATTTAGCTAATATTTATTTGGAGAAGTTAATAATAGATTCTAGCACATGTTTGAGGTATAGATAGAAGCACAAAGCTAGTAGATGTGACGCACTTATAAGTAGCGTTACACCTGCGCTAAAGGTACAGGGTTCAACTTTGCCAGCAGAAAAACCAATCTTTATCTTTCTTTCACTTGTTTCGATGGTAAATTGGTACTGACACATGGCAAGGAACAACAGTTTGCTTTTAAGCAGGCGTTCGGAGAGACAACCACCGAAAATTTCGTAGCTTTTGGCATCTAATACTTCAGCCTGCCTTCGCCTCCTAGTGGCCGAGAACTGTGAAGAAGTTTATTACTTGTTTAAAGTATAAAAATCTAATAAAACAAAATATTTCTGCAAAAAAAAATACTAAAAAAGAAGACTTAGTCTGTAAGTGCCTAATTCTTCGCCGATGAAAAAATTCTTGATCACCTTAAACGAGCTGAACCACTTCATAATTAAGCAGATGCCAGTGGTCAATTTCTCCATAAA